TTTTTTTTTTTTTTTTTTTTTTTTTTTTTTTTTTTTTTTTTTTTTTTTTTTTTTTTTTTTTTTTTTTTTTTTTTCATTTTAAATTGTAATTATTTTATTATTATTATTATTATTATTATTATTATTTAAGTTTCCTGAAATTGAATAAATAGAAAAGGTAAAAATGAATAAACAAATAAGGTGGTTCTAAGAAGTATATCTTTTTATTTTCTAAAAATGTGTACAGTTTATCCTTAAAAAATATATATATAAAAAGTACAAAAGTTTTGAACAGCATAACGAACTTGATTTAATTTGACTATTATATATATATATATATATAATTTATTTATTTATTTATTCTACCTCGATAAGCATAATAAATATTAATTTTTTATTATTTACACTATATTCATACCCGTTCATGTTTCATTTTATTAATTTATATTTTATTTATAATATTAAATGAAAATACAAATTTAGTCCATACTAAATTAGTTTTAGTTATTACAAATTTGTTCTTATACTTGAGTTGTTTCAATTATTTCCTATTTTTACCTTACAAAGAATTTATTACAACCATTAAAAAAATAAAAATAAAAATAAAATCAAATTTTAGGGTATTATCAATAAAAATCATAAACTAATAAATATTATCAATTTGTTCCGTTCCTATTGAACGTCATATTCATATGATTGGAAAATATTAGCTATAAAACTTATAACTATTAATGTCATATTCGATGACATGTCTATTTATAAATGAATCAATTGAGGCCTATGAACTATTTTCAAATTGATTTATTTGATAGAATAATAAGTTCATAGGTGTTACTCAGATATTAAATGAATAGGATTGAGAATTGAAATATAGATGAAATATAATGAAATAGAACCATAAAGCATGAATGAAGCATCCAACAGAGCAATTGCAAAGAAGTTTCGGGAGTTACAAAGGAAACGTTGAGCTCATAATATTGGTCATAAGTTGAGAACGGAAATTGAAAAATAAAAATAAAAAAAGAAACTTACCTGAATGAGGTAATTTCATAATAAATACATTTTCTTACATACAGCTGAGAAGGTAAAATATTGATTAGCAGTAATAAGATTCCCATGCTTTGCCTTTAAACCAACATGGTCAGAAGCTTTCGGTCCAAACATTAAAAAAAAAAAAAGAACTAAGAAGGCTTCTTTTCCTACCAACCAATGGGGGATCAGTACAAACTACTACAAGCCTAAAAGAAAACCATCCATCACTGTACACAGCATCATCATCATCATATCATATCATTCATACCAATTTCTGGCTTTAAAATGGCTAAACCCTAAATCAATCAATACACAACTCAGAGTAGTTAACTCAGAGGTCAGTGAATTTCTGACCCATTAGCATCTTCAAAATCAGCATTATCTCTTTGTCTAATAACAAATTGATCCACAATTTTAACAGTGTGCACTGGATCTTGATATGATGTAGCCGCCTTCCACTTGCTCGGAAACGCTCTCCGATGGCTCAGCTGCTCCGGTTGTCTTGCCTCCCCTTCCCATTTAGAATCCAACTTCCATTCTTTCGGAACCTGCAACGTCAAAGCGAGAATCAAGATACAGATAACTCGAAAATAAGAATGTGAAAATCCATGTTTACCTTGTCAACAGCAAGAGTAAAAACTTCGAGATCGCCATCGTTATTGATGTGGAATCGAGTGAACGATTTATAATTTGCAATCCTTAGTGAAGAGAATGCTTCATCAAAGTGGATGTGAAGCCAATTGATACATATGTATAAATAGCTTCCAAAAACAAGGGAGACGACTGGCGTTGAGAAAACCCAGAAATAAAAGAAGACGGAGCCATAATATATTATAGCACCTCCTCTAGAGAGCGAATGCATTCCATTCTTGCAAATATTACTACGCGAGACGGCCATGACCTAATACCATTCTCTCGACCGTTAGTGAACGGAAGAATGAAAAAACGATAATACTGGGAAGAAGAGTGTTCTAACCTCAGGTATATCAAATGCCGACATAAGATACTTGATGCATGCTGGATACAGACCATATGTCCATTCTTCTAATCGCGCACGGAGACCAGTCGGATCGGGAAAGTGCTCACCTTCCTTTGTACGGTACCATTCATACAAAGTGTGATAGCCTGTAATGAACAAAAAAAGATCTCACTTTCAACATCAAATAATTCATAACTAGAAACCTCGATGCCATTGGTAAGGTAAGGCTACGTCGTGATAGTACCTGAGGTTGCTAGTAATTCATGACGGACGCACGTCTCCAACCCGAGTTCCAATAGCAACATAAGAAAAAGAGCTGCCCCAAGATGTGCAGACACATGAACAAGGCCAATTATTACCCGTTTCTTCTTGGATGCTTTGCTAGGAATAAATGTTATCGCTACAATCAATAATACAATAGCACCAGCTAAAGATACATATGACTCTCCCAGCATGTATAGAAAAGAATTCCACACCGTGCCAAAGAAACTCTTCAAGTGACCCGAAAATGAATCTTCTTGCAAGATGTGATCGAGCTTACACTATAAGAAAGTTACAAACTTGGTCATCCACATATTTAAAGTAAAGCATTTTACCTTGCTAAAAAGCCAAGTGCATTATACACCCCATTGAGTCTAAAGAAACAATAAATACTTGTCAACTAAAAGTGAAACCAATCCTCTCTCCTCCGGCTAGTTTGAAGATACATTTTATTGTCAGCTTGTCAATCAATCTTATCAAATTGTAACTTTGATCAAAAGGAGAATATATTGATAATGAATTTACCAAACGATGAAGTGTCCTTAAGCAGTTTCAAGATTTAATCAACTTGCTCTTTGTTGAATGGGTTGGAGTCAAGAACATTAGCACTAGAAAAAAAAGGTTGATTGGTGTTCTTCTCACCCTTCTAAGTACTAAAACTCAAGCTGTAGGTATCACAAGTATGCCGAGGTTTGTAACAATACTCACATTAGACGCGATGCTTTGATTGATCAGAAACCTTGTGTGCAATAACTTCAACAACCGAAGCAAAACGTTCAACTGAATCATTGGGTTTCTTCACAGTATTGGCTCTCTTCCTGCAGCCTTTTAACTTTATCGAATTCAATATTGAGGTTTGCCAGGAATAATATTGTGGATCCCGAGAAGACATTAACTCGACTAAGGGTGACGTCGGGCAAACAAAGATGGCCGACAGCAGCAAACAGTATCAGTGGCAGTGGCAACTAGGCCTAGGGTTGGTTTTTAAGGGTTTCTAATATTTTGCATACAATAAATACTGATTAACTAAAAACGAAACAACCACCAGAAACTAAGCTGTGAATATGAACCAAGGGAAGCCCAAAAAAATCTCAAAGGAAGAAAGAACAAAAGCCAACCTGTGGGAACATAGAAAAGACCAATATAAAGTAGATGATGCCACCAATGAAATCAAATTGCCAATTTTTCTTCCGGAACTTCAAAATATTTCCTAAAGCAATCTGCACAAGAGAAAAAGTATGCACTGGAAGTTAAAAATAAAATAAAATGGTAGAACTGAATAGCACAAAATTTTACAGTTCAAACATTACCCTGCCAGAATCTTCAAAGGAAGGATAAGCAGCCTTGCACTCATATGTAGCCCCACAAAATTTTCGAAAATTACTAAAGACGTGAGTTGGGTGTAAAAAAGCCCCACCACAGCCATTTACAAGAAGATGGTGCACATTTACAGACTCGTCTGATTGAACAGCAGAATGGCGCATATAATGATGCAAGTCTCCAGCAATTCGAAGTTTGCACCTCCCTTTTAGATAATCGCATATTAGGTGCGAAACATTCTTCCCAGAAATATCATTCCAGTAACAGTCAAGCAACCAATTAGGTTCATGAGTCATAATGATTACCGAGTCATCAGCTCCCATCTTGATCAGATAAAAGAGATTATTTGTTCATTAGAAGACAGTAACCACAGAGAGAAGTGAAGAACCAATGGATGAGAAAAACAAAAATCAAAGGATACAAGTTTAGCCATCACAAATTAATAGGGGAATAAATCATTCAATAAATTAACTGAAGTAGGGAAAATAGAAATAACTAACTGAAGAGGGAAAATACCTTCTCCTGTACAAGTTCTGAAAAGAATTTGAATTGGTAGACATCAATATCACCATGGAGTGCTAGATCCAGACCAAATACCCACCATCTTTTGGGAAGTTTCAGGGCAAAATAGCTCTTCTTCTGAGGCATAAACCACCCGCCCAACCAGCTCTTATGACATATGTATCTCATATATGTATGAAGTCCATCGAACCAATCTACAAAACCAAACAAGTGTGTTACCTCACAGACATAGTGATAGTTAATCAATTCCCAATAACAGGAAAACATCAAAATTAAATCAGCTCAGACAGAGAAAAGCAGCAAACCATGATTTCCAGGAATTACGTAACACTGAGGTCCATCATATTGCTTCAGTTCAGAAATCCCATGTGGTAACTCAGGCTTCTTTACTGCTATATGATCTTCTTTATACCAAGGAGGAGGTTGAAGAGCATATTCAAAAGGGCAAAAGAGCCGTCTTTCATATGTGAATGCTGATGGATTAGGATATCTGGCATAGAACGACACAAGGTGTTTCATATAATTAGGAAACAAGGTGTTTCATGCTGATGGATTACCATAATTAGGTATAGCTCTGCATAAGCATTTTGACAGTGAAGAAGGTATGATGGTGGTAATGCATAATCTAAAAAATCTATCCAAAACACACAAGGTATGATGGTGTTTCATATATTGATTAGCGGTAGTGGTAATGCATAATAACTCAACGTTGCTTAACAGTGAGGCACCAAGGACATACCTTCTTCAGGCTTCTTAAACAATTATACTTAGGAAGGTATCAAATAAATGTTCAAGTTCTTTTTAACACTTATCCACTTACTTTACATTAAACCAAAATACTCTCCCCTTCAAGTGCACCATCTTCACTCGGATAAATTATGCTCCACCTAGCTATCTAACCACTCTAACCACAACTCTATGTAATCTACTCATCCATTGCGTTCATATAATCGGAAACTTCCTTAACAATGGGAGAAATACAGATTGCTAAAGTAGGGTTTAGAAACTTCCTTCGAAAGATTGCTTCTGAGAAGTCCTGCTTCGGTCTCCTGGAATGAGGAGAACAGTAGAACTTTTAAGGATAAATACAGATTCTAGATGGATAGTCGCCCTTAGATTTTATTGTCACAACTCTAGTTACAACCTGTATGACTAATGTAGATTGGGAGTACTTCAAAACTTCTTGGCTGGATCCGAAAATGTTTCATCACCCCCCACCCCTAGAAACACTTTTTGAAATCAATCAAGTGCCCTTTTTTCTTTATTTAAAAATATTTTAAAAGAAAAGCCTCCAACTAGAGACAATGCAAGACTAGTAAGCATTCGACTCCATGGTCCAAAATAAGAAAAGCCATTAAAGATTTCTTATTTACCTAAATAAGAAATCTGCCAACATGGACCAAAATATCCAAACTCAGCTGAAACCACAAAATATCCAATAGCCCAACTAATGAAAGAACTTAAAAACCATCTTCAACTATATGAATGAAAAAACATATAAGCTATACTTGAAAAAACTTACGCAAGATCTCCCCCTATGAGTAACATATCTCCACGTGGTAAGTTGAAAATTGAATCATCTTCAATTATGCGAATTGAAGGTTGAGCAAGCAAACGTGCAATAGTATAAGATGAGTTCCCACCATCACCAGTATCAGCCATGAAATCAAACCATAAGTCCTCCCTATCACTATAATGATCATATAATAAACCATCCTGCTGAGCTCCATCTTCAAGCTTGCGCATTGCTGCCTAACATTGGAAGAAAGGTCAAGTGGAAACATTACAATTAGCCTTCATAAGAGAACAATTTCTTAAAATTTTATGTAGGAAACTAGGATATGATAGATTCTTTTTTTTTTTTTTTTTTTTTTTTTTTTTTTTTTTTTTTTTTTTT